GAAAAAGACATCTGCAGGTGTCTTGTCTGTTGTTGCGGTCCGCAAGTCTGTGCAGAGTGGCGCGGCGTGGCGTGGCGGTGCTGCCCCCGGCCGGCCCCGCTTCTGGCCGCCACTATAAATACGGTCGCTTTGCTGTCAGTGTCCATTTCCTTTATAATTTGTTGTCACCCCTCTCCCCGCCGCCCCCTCTCCTCCTCATGCTCCCCCATCCTCGCCTCCTTCGCTCTTCCCCACCTCTCTCTTCCTCCCAGTTTTCCCCAGTTCACTTTCTCCCCGGGTGGAAAATGAAATTGACATTTTCTCGTCGGCTCCTCCTTTGCGACGCAGGTCACGTGTGCGAGAGAGACAGAGACAGTGAGCCACACCCCCTCTCTCTCGCACTCCCGCCCGGACGGCGCCTCCGGGGTCGCAGACAGACCAGTATCGAGTTGCACTGCAGCTGCAGCCGATGCAGCCTCCCACAGACCGCACTGTGTCAATAATATCAATATGGAGTCGTAATCTGCCATGATGCAATCCCATGAAGGGAAGGGGTATGTCTCTGAGTGATCAAGATCACCAAATCCTCCCCCTAGGGTGACGGCATTTGTCGGCGGCCAAGCGGTGCATTGTTGCAACACGTGCCCGAAGTAGTCTTCACATGATCCATAGACGCTCATAAAAGCCGTAACTGACGGATATTATACGGTTATTTATACAATTTTTCGTGCATTTGCCCCATGCGATAGGGTTTGATCAGAGACAGTGTTCTTATGACGGTTCTCTTTTGCTCTGTCTGCTTACCGGGGCCGGGAGCGCCACGCCCGCCGAAACTCCCTGCTTGCTGCAGGTCGTAAATGTTCCAGCCAGATGGCTCGCGGCAACCGCAGAGAAGGGTTCACCTAGGTCAGGCGGGGCGGGGCGTGGCGGGGCGTGCCGGCGCGGGGCGTGGCCAGGGCGGCCAGGGCCTAGGTCATGTGGATCGCGTTAACAGCCCCGAGAGGGTGCCCCGCCTGTTCGTATGCGACTGGCCGTGAGCCCCCCCCCCCCCACACACACACCCTCGAGGGGCACGTGGTCAGCACATGGCAGCAGCGGGCCTGCTGAGAAGCTAGACTTGTGCGAAACCACAAAACCGCTACCGACAAAACAACACAAGTCCATGTGGCGGCGGGCGGCGGCGGGGCTGAGCTGGACCGGCATCGTGAACATCGCAGGTTCGGCAGACGACCACGAGTCAATAGTCAAATTGATAAAACTGGTTTGGGACCCTCGGACCCTCTTGCATATACCTGTTACATCCAAAATACGTTGTTACACTGATGCGGCGTCATGGCCCTTTTACACGCGCTAGGGTTCTCTTAGGTCAAAAGCGGTAGGCAAAGCCATCAGACCACCGGCGGGTGGGGGTGGAGATGGGGGCTCGAAGCACTCCGGTCGATGCGTAGGTAGGCAAATTCGCCCCCTACATTACATGACATCGGCCAAGAACCACGCCTGCAGCCCGGCCGCATGCCCGCATATATGCAGGCCAAGTTGAAGTTGAAGTATATAACTGCAGAACAGAGAGGACGGGTCGGGGGCCGGTATATGGACGTATAGGCCCGTGTGGACCATTACCTGTACTTGAGGAGAGCAGGGGGTGAAAGGTCTATAGGGGCACGGATTTATACCTTACGGGGTGCCCGGGGCTGGGTGGGAGGTTCCTCTTACCACTCTGACCAGTCAGGCCGGCAGGCCATAGCACAAAAAAATAAATAAATAAAAACAACTGGGAATGTGTCAAATCAATGGTATACTCAGACGGGAAAGTTTTTTTTTGTGTGTGTGTGTGTGTTGAAACGATGTCGTATTTCGAAAAAATAAACCTGTGCACGATTTCGACTCACGACATCGGACATCACCTGTTCGACTACAGAAAACTGATTCCTCTCTGGACAAGAATAATGTCTTCAGGAAAAATTTCGACATGAATAAGTCCTAGTTGTAGTCCTCTGCACCGCTTCAACTGATTCTCTTGTGCTTGCAGACGAGGACTGCTCGGGCGCCCCGGGTGCTCGCCGCCGGTCCTCCCAGAAGCCCCGCCGGAACCGCACCACCTTCAGCTCGGCGCAGCTGTCCGCCCTGGAGCGGGTGTTCGAGCGCACGCACTACCCGGACGCCTTCGTGCGCGAGGACCTGGCGCGGCGCGTGCAACTGAGCGAGGCGCGCGTGCAGGTAAGGGTCCCAAGTACCATCGCACTGGCGTGGACTTGTGTTCCGCCATTCATTCACGACGTCCCCGTTTCCAGGTGTGGTTCCAGAACAGGCGCGCCAAGTTCCGCCGCAACGAGCGAAGCGTGCTCTCCCAGCGGGGTGGGCTCGGGCTCGGCCTCGGGCTCTCTGCCACCCCCGCCCCGCTCACCTCCCCGATGTCGCCGCTGGGGGCCCCGGGCGGCCTGGGGGCGGGCCTCGGCCTCGGCGCGCTGCCCGCCTCCTTCTGCCCGCCCCCGCCGCCCCCCTGCGCGGACCAGGGCGCGGACCACGGCAGGCACCTCGCCGACGGCCAGGTGGTCCCCGACTACTCCATGCTGTGGAAGTCACCCACCGTGGCCGAAGGGCTGGGCCCGGGCCTGTCAGAATCCTCCCTGCTGCACCACGGCCAGCCCAACCCGTCCTGCGCGTTCATGGCTTCAGGTGAGAAACCCGGTGTCAGTAAATGTCAACTTGCCAACACATTCCAATTAGTACTATGCATTTTTTATTCACGACTGGTTTGAAAGCCTCGTATTCTCCCAAATAGTCAAGGAAAAAATAAGTCCGAGGGAAAATCAGCAATCTGTTTAAAAGTATCTTTTTCAGGTGACTGATCAACCCCTCACTTCTGTAGTTATGCTGTACCGCACGCGTGAGTGCGAGCGGGTTGCCTACTCGCTCGGCCCGTAAGGCGCCGTGGACAGGGGCGACATGGGCAAGCCCGCCCGCACTCGTGCGTGCGGTACAGTGTAACTATAGGAGTGAGCGGGGTTAATCATCCACCCAGTATACCAGCCCTGTCAACAAGTCTTTTTGATTTTCATTCTAAGGTGTTGTCTCTTTTGTTGCAGGCCTGCCGCCGTCCTACAGCTCGTCCAGTGCGCCCTCCTACAGCGTCACCAGCAGCATCGCGAACCTCAGGCTGCGGGCGCACGAGTACAGCAGGGATGCGCTGACCTATTACTAAATGAGAACCGTAGCCGGCGCGCGCGGTGTCGTTGAAAGTTTCGAAAATTGAACGCTTTCCGCATATTATTAGTGCTATTTTCGACGAGGTCTCTTGTTCCAAGTGAGAAATGAGTTATCTTCAACGTCGACTCGACGTCGAGACAGTCGAATAAACGTCATTTTGTCCTCCCAAATCCACATCTTTTCGATATTTCGACGTCGATTCGACGTTGAATCCGCGTCCCCATTTCTCACTTGGGTTATTACCATTAAAGAGGGAATTCCGCTGGCCTCTTCCTTGACTAGTCAAAAATGTGGATTAAACATAAAACACAAAGATGCGATACCCAGTGAGAAATGAAATATCAGACCGATATCGAAACGATATCGAATATCAGATATGTGTCAGTTTCAGGACCATCTCAGTGTCGAAGTGATGCGAAAATTGACAAACTATATCGTTCTGATATCAGTCCGATATTTCATTTCTCACTGACAAACTGTCTTATTAACACGAAATCGTTACGCCAAAGCCACATTGACGCCGTGAGAGTAATGTCCATAACGTCAGTAACAGCAGTATATATGGCCTAAATGTTTACTTATCATGATATTATGATGAACAGTGACCATTTCGCGTTCTTAGATAGTTACTTACGTACGACTGACTGAAACTATGTGTACACTCTTTTATCAAATAAATGGTTCAAATCGATTTTTGGTGCGTCTTCTCGTATTTTCCCGTGCCCTCTGACATTTCTTTCTGCGTACACAGGCCGGGTCTTACAGAGGCAAGAGGATGAAGGGGGGGGGGGGGTGGCGTGCTTTTGGCCTACCTATTGGGCGTCTTGCTGTTTTCAGGGGGCTGGAGAGGGGGAATACCTCAGCCCATTTCATTCCGTCCAATCATAGAGGACCAAATGAGGAAAAAGAAAATCACTTTGGGGTCACGTGTACCGCATTCATGTCGCAGAGACCATAAGAACGACAAGACGACTACATTCGGGCGACCTTGGTTCGAGTTACTCAGTCATCTGGCTCAGCCGGGCCCAACACACAATCAGAGCCGAGCGAGCAGGCAAGTAGTGACGTCACTTTACCCCTGGAGAGTTATCGGCACACACACAAAAAAAACTCTACAACGCTCTTTTGCGGCGGCAGGCCCTTCCGCGTTTCCACACACGGCAGCCGGCCGCCGAGCGCGTGTCAAATCAGATCCTCTCCGAGTGCCACGAGCTCCCGGGGCGCGGGCTGGGGCCGCTGTCGCACGCCGCCGCGCGCCTGGAGGCTTCCGGACCGCCAGGTTGGCACCCCTCGCGCTCGCAGCCTCGCATCCAATCCATGCGCGTAGTGCACTTGTTTACCGAGTGAGTGATGCGGAGCCCGGACCGTTTGTGTTCCAACAAATATGGATAAAATGTCTATGTCCGCCGACTAAGTGATGTGCGTTAGTGCAACGAGCCAGCGGGAACCGCAGCGCAGGACATGAGGTGTGCAGCAAGACCGTGCGGCGAGAGAACGCGACCCGAGAACCATGGTGGACAATAGGCACGGCACCAGTCGCCTTTGAGAACGTTGGAGGAAAATCACGATTTGCTCCCATTGCAATGTTCTCGAGCTCGTCCTCGGGGCCGGACACGCAAAACTATGACTTCGAGAAGGAGGAGAACGCGGCCAAGTGGCGGGGTGTCTTCGTGCAGTCCCTGAAAAAGGTGAGACATCGCGGGGCGGGCGCGGACTGCTGGGGGCCGAGCGGGCCGCCGCGGCCAGCACTTGTCGCCCCCCTTTTTAAGTTGTTTCGTGACAGTTTGCGATGAACCGTCAATCGACGGTGACTCGAGGTGTGGTTGCTTCATTCGACACCCCTGTCTACTCACTGTGGTGCCCTAGAACTGTCAAAGATTGGAGATCGGTGTAGGAGTTTCCGAAAGGCAGTCAAAGTGAGGTTAGGTGTTTTGTTTGTAAACACCATTTTATTTTGATGAGAGCCTTCCTGAGTAGTTCTGGATGGGATCATGGAGTGGATCATTGAGAATTCCTCACCAGGATTTGTCTCAGTTCTCAATTAAATTGTCTAAAATACGTTTACATCGTTTACAAGTGAGGTTAGGTAGCTCATGGAGGATGTCTCTTTGTCAATTATTTGCCAACTTTTTGCCACTATTTTTAATGACGCCCTCTCAGTAGGATCATTCTCTCTTAATTTTCCGTGATAGCATTAGTTTCCGCTTTGGCACTTTCTTATGATAGTATTCTTGTTTCATAGCGAAGAACGTAAAGATTCCGCAATGATATTCAGAATGAATTTCACTACCTCCACTCAGAAACTCTTGTCGTTCCCATCTTGAAATTTTACTTGTTTAGGGCTCTGACATTATATTCAGTTGTGCACCCTGTTGGTCAGCTCACTCTTCTCTTCTTCTCATTGTTTGTTAAGGTGCTGGAACAGGTGCATCCCTCCCTCACTGCACGCGAAGATGCCCTAGGGAGGGTGGAAACATTGATTCTGCGGCTTCTTGGTATGCTCTGTGCCCGTCCTTCTCCTCATACGGTTCAAGATGTTGAGGACAGAATCAAGCGCACCTTCCCAGGGCCCATTGATTGTTGGGCTCTCAATGAGGCTCAGGAAGCACTGGAAAAGGGGAAGAAGAAAGAAAATAAACTAGTGTTACCTGTCGATAGAGTCCACACAATGCTTCAAAAGGTTAGGAATGACAGATATGAAGTCTTCTAATGATTTAATGGCATGATTTTTAATCCTCTTCTTGTATTTTCCAGGATGTTTTACAGTACAAAATTGACATTCAAGTTACTCAGTTCTTAGTTGCAGTTCTGGAATATATTTCTGCTGATATATTGAAGGTATGCAACAAGTTTTATGGATGGCCTTCTTTTGACAGTAATTTTCCTTGCTCTTGGACAATCTAGATAATTATGATTTTTCTTTACGCAGTTGGTTGGAAATTATGTAAAAAATATTCGCCATGTAGAAATTACAAGCCAAGATGTTAGAATAGCCATGAATGCTGACAAGGTGAGTTGTTTCAAGATCTCTTGTTTGTTTTGCTGTAAATGAAAAACGATTCTTTTCATACCACTTTCTTGGATTCTGTTTACTTCGTATTTCTCAGCCTTTTTATAGTAATTAATTCACTCAACCTTGAGAAATAAATCACTTCAAATCATTAGTGAATGTTTCTAATATAAGTGTGTTACAGTTATGATGCTGAGACTGATATAACTTTCAAAATTAAAATTTCTTGGAAAATCGAGTAACATTTCTGTCTTCTTTTCAAAAATTTCTTGGTTAGGCTATATTTTAATCTACATTTAACTCTTTTCTCTTCCTCCTATTACTATGACATCATCACACGGTATGTGATGTGTCGCGTGTCGCCAATAGCTTGGTTACATAAATTAGAGCACCAGTAAGGTGACCAAAAATTTGTCTGGCTGGGTTCTGTTTTGTTTTCAATATTTACATTTACACTTGGTTTTTATATTAGGGTAATTGAAGGTTTCTCCCTTCTCATTTAACTATACTTTTGTGAGAACTTTTCTGAGAGTTTTAGTCCATCTTTATCCCAGAATATGGATGAACCCAATGTTATAGCTGTTCGTTAACAGATAATTCCTACTTCAAAATTTTGAGTGCAGTGTTTGCTTTTGCTCCAGGTACTTTTGGATCTGTTCTGCCAAGAGGATGATGGCAGTGCGGGTGCTCCTGTGACACACTTGCCTGAACCGCAACGTACTCCACATACATATGAAGACGTAGTTAAGGAACTTATTCAAGATGAGAAGCAGTATCTGAAGGAACTTCACATGATCATCAAAGTATTTAGAGAGGAAATTGCAAAAGTAGTCAACCATGACAGCAGGGTTTGTTCCATACTGAATATATTAACTTGTCATCTTAAAAACATATTGGTTTAAATATTTACCTATGGGATTTTTTTACAATTCACAGGAGTTAGATTTATTGTTCAGTAACATAATGGAAATCCAAGAATTAACAGTCACACTTTTGGGCTCCCTTGAGGATATGCTTGAAATCTGTGAAGAAAAGCAACATCCTGCAGTTGGTAGCTGTTTTGAAGAGCTTGCAGAGGTTTGCATTTTTAAACTTCTCACCAGTATCATTGAAAAAGTATTAAAAGACTGAACTACTATGTTTTGCTTCTTCAACAGGGTGCTGAATTTGATGTATATAGCAAGTATGCCCGAGATATTATTCAAGAACCCTGTAGGGAGGTATTGTCAAGGTTACTTGCAAGACCAGATGTGTATAATGCTTTACAGTCAGCAGGTCATGGTTTTAGGGAAGCAGTGAAATACTACTTACCTAAATTGCTACTGACCCCTGTGTGGCATTGCTTTCTTTATTTTGATTATCTACAGGTATGTAAGAATAGCTTATCAGGATTGTACATTGTTTTGTCATTTTTAGACGGTTTTCATATTCCCATTTAAAATTATTTCCACAGAGATTGGGTAGATTATGTCCAGTAAAAGATGATAAAGAAACATTGGAGCAAGTTGGGGGTCTCCTGCGACCACTGGAAGTAGAACTTAATGCTATTCTTCTACATACTCCAAGACAGTATGTATATTTATTAAATTATTTCATGACACTTATGTTGTTAAAAATAATCAATATTAATCATTTTTCCTCTTCTTTGTCTTTAGGGAAGTGGGGGTGCGGCAGCCGCGGGCCCGGCGCCAGGCAGCCCATGAAAAGCTAAGTGAGTTGCACAGTACGATTTACGGCTGGGACGTCAGAGAAAGTGGGCAATATTGCAATGAATTTATCAGAGGTGAGATGACAAGACATTTGTCTATATTTCGGTCAATGTTCTTTTCTTACTTGTTTCAAGATCTTTTTTTAAAAAACAATATTACTCATTTTTTTGCAGAGGATAATCTAGGTAAGGTAGGTTCTGGGAAACGTCTGACTGAACGCAGAGCGTTCCTGTTTGATGGTCTTATGGTGCTTTGCAAACCAAACAACAAACGCACCTCTGTGTCTGTCAACATTGGCCCTACACAGGGTGAATATAGAATGAAGGAAAAGTATTTCTTTCGGAAGTTAGAGATAATAGACCGTGAAGATTCAGATGGTAAAGAAAAACTTTATTATTACTTTACCTTCTTGCTCTTGTTGCACTTCTTTTTTTGTCATTGATCATCTTAATTATTTCTTTTTCAGAACTGAAATATGCTTTTGATATCGCCCCAAGGGGTGCTCCTACTGTGACTTTAGTTTGCAGCTCAGCTGAAGAGAAAAACAGCTGGATGGCTGATCTAATAATGCTCAATACTAAAAGGTATGTGTTTATTACTGTGTGTGCTGTGTCTTGAATGTGTTCTGATTTGTTTGAGCTCGACTTAACACACAGTTCTTTCTTTTGTAGTATGTTGGAGCGAACTCTTGACAGTATATTATTGGACGAGGAGAAAAAGCATCCTTTAAAACTACCTCCTCCTCATTTGTATAAGTTTGCTGAAGCAGATTCAAAGGACAACATTGCATTGGAAGAGAGAGAGAATGCAGGTGTACCTTTAATAAAGGTACAAAAGTGTTTTCTGTAGGTAGGGTTGCCTGGTAAAACTCATACAACACATTCTAATTTGTCTTGTTTTTCAGGGAGCTACTTTGTACAAATTAGTTGAAAGGCTCACATACCATATATATGCTGATCCTATGTTTGTTAGAACATTTCTGACAACATATCGTAGCTTTTGTACACCAAAGGCAAGTATTGCTTGTGTTTCTGTATCAGTTGTGTTTCATGTAGGGCTTCAGATATTAATTATAAGTTTTCTTTAGGAGCTGTTACATTTGCTCATTGAGAGATTTATGATCCCTGATCCATCTCAAGTTTATGAAGATCATGACCAAGATGGTGATAGCGATAAGGCTGCCAAGAATTCTCAGAGGGAGGACTGGAAGAGATACCGTAAGGAGTTTTGTCAGCCAGTACAGTTCAGGTAAGGAGATATTTCTCTATTTTTTTTCACTTTAGAGCATTCAAATATTATTTCTAATAATAATTTTCTCACAGGGTATTGAATGTTTTACGCCACTGGGTTGATCACCATTACTATGACTTTGAACGTGACCCAGAGCTTTTGGAAAAATTGCATGCATTCCTAGAGACAGTACAAGGCAAATCCATGCGAAAATGGGTTGACTCAGTTTTGAAGGTTGTACAAAGAAAAAGTGAATCAAATGAGCAATTACAACGGCACATCACATTCCCTTTTTATCGGTCGCCACCACCTGTTGAGTGGCACATTAAATGTCCTGAGGAAGAATGGACTATACTAACTGTAGGTTCTATTCCCTTCAATTTAGTTCTAAAACGTTAAATTGTTCTTGTTACTGAAAACCTTTCTGAAATTTTCAGTTGCATCCCATTGAAATTGCTCGCCAACTGACTTTGTTGGAGTTTGAATTGTACCGGGCGGTGAAGCCTTCTGAATTAGTTGGAAGTGTTTGGACCAAGAAAGACAAGGAGCAATCATCACCTAATCTTCTTCGCATGATAAAGCATACAACTAATGTGAGTATCTGCCTACTTTCTTAAAATACATGTTGATTTCCATTGATTCATTCATTGACTCGTTCATTCTTTAATTACTTTGTTTCATTACTTTGTTTTCCAGTTCACTCGGTGGCTTGAGCGAAATATAGTTGAAGCTGAAAACTTTGAAGAAAGAGTGGCTATAGTATCTCGAATTATTGAAATTATGCTGGTGCTTCAAGAATTGAACAATTTTAATGGTGTTTTGGCTGTTGTTTCTGCTATGGGTTCAGCATCAGTTTACAGACTCAAGTGTACATTTTCTGTAAGTTTGTTAACATTACATCTTCTTTAAATTACACATACTTATTGGAAGAGTTCTCATATCTAATCTTCTGTCTTTTAGAATCTGTCGGCTCGTTTGGAAAAAGCTCTTGAAGATGCAAGAGAATTGAACAGTGATCACTTTAAGAAGTATCAGGAGAAACTGAGGTCAATTAATCCTCCTTGTGTTCCTTTCTTTGGTAAGACCTTCAATTGCCACTGTTGTCAACTTCTCTGCTCAGCATCCATGCAGCCCCTTTCATGTTTTATCTTGTGTTTTAGGAATGTACCTCACAAACATTCTACACATTGAAGAAGGAAACCCAGATTTCTTACCTAATGCCCCAACTCTGATAAACTTCAGCAAAAGGCGAAAGGTCGCTGAAATCACTGGTGAAATTCAACAATATCAAAACCAGCCATATTGTCTACTAGTGGAGAAAAACCTAAGGGTAAGCACTATATCCTCAATTTATGCTGCCCTTGGATAGTTCTAGCCTTTGGTTCTACAATTGGATACCATGTGGACTTTCTACAAATAATTTATGATTTTGTTTTCTTTCAGCGCTTTATTGAGACATTAAATCCCTTTGGAGACAAGGGAGAGTTAGAGATAGCAGATTTTCTATACCAGAAAAGCTTAGAAGTTGAACCAAGAAATTGCACGCGGCCCCCAAGATTTGTAAGTTTATATCTCTTTTATCTCTGTTCCTGGTATATCTCGTATTTGTTTTGTAGATTTGACCTCTAGTGTGTGTATGTGCAACTTTTCGCATAGTGTTTCCCTTCTTAGCTAAACCTCCTTTGCTGTGTCCTCACACCTGCTTTGCACCTGTCTAGGGTCGGCGCTGGCCGGAGTTGAACCTTAAGTCACCAGGCATCAAGCCTCGCGGCTTGGCTAGTCGAACCCACCCTCCCACTCCACTGACTAGTGTCACAGAGCGACCAGTTATCTCCAACTGCGACAAGGATGGAGAGGACACTCCTCGCACCCCTCTCACAGCACCCCCCACTCCTCCTTCACACCCTGGACAATTTTCAACCGCCAGCGACTTTGGTGTCTTTGCTCAGGTCGTCCTGGGACCCTCTGGTGAGTAGCATCTCATTTTCCTCCATTGCCTTCTGTGCGGGCATGCGCCTTAACTCCACCGTGCTTTCCCCGCCAGGCCACGGCAACTCGTCGCCCGGAGGGCTCTCGCAGATGTCGCAGTTGTCGCAGATGTCGCACATCTGCTCGCAGTCCACGACGAGCTTGGTGTCGCCCACGCTGCAGCAGGGGCAGCCCAGCCCCGCGGGGCCCGGCCCATGGTCCGGCGGGGGGCTTCCGGGCGCCTCCCCCGCGACCTCGCCGTCCTTCGTGCACCCCCCGACCAGCCTGCCCTTCTCCGCCCCGGACAAGATGCCCCCTCCCGCCAACCCCCCGCCTCTTCCCCCGCGCCGGCCGCGCGAGAGCTCCATCAGTGACGGCGCCTCAGGCCCCGCGCTGTCGCCCGTCTCCAACCAGGCTCCAGCCAGGATCCCGTCGGCCAGCCAGGTAAGCAGAGCATGCCCGCGCCTATGCCCTGCCGATGGCGGCTGACGGACACTGTGGCTGATGCTCTTGTTCTTCCAGGCGCAGGCTGCACAGGCTCTGCAGGCGCGCCAGGCGCCCGACGCCCCCATCCTGCCGCCGCGGGACCTGTCTCCGCCCCCGCTGCCCCCCAGGACGGGCACGCTGCCGCGGCCGCACGCCCAGCGGCGCAACTCGGCGCTTGGGGACGCGCCGGGGCTGGGCGCCGCGTGCGCCGCTCAGGTGCAACCCCAGCCTAGGAGGCACATGTCCTTCAACGGGCCCACGTCCGCGTGCTCTGCCTCGCAGCCGCCGTCACCGCCCGCCAACAGCACTAGTCCCGTGGCGTACGCCTCAGGTAGGATTCCGTCTTCACCTATTTTGTCGTTGCCCGAGGAGCAAAATGACCTAGACGAGTTTAAACCCTTGCTTGTCCTTGTGCAGCTGGATTCCCGACCACCTACAACCACCGAGCGACGCAGTCGGTGCCCAGCACGACGCAGAGGCCGCCGGGGCCCGGACCCCACCGGCACGGGCTCAGCAACCTCAGCTGGCACCCGCCGAGGGTGGGGTCCGCGCCCACGCCGGCGCCGTCCCTCAACCGGCACGGCAACCAGGTGGGCATGCACGGCCGGCCCGTGCACCAGCGGCACGGCAGCGACAGCGACTGCCCCCCGGTGCCGCCGTCGCCCTCTGCGCTCACCGCCCCCAGCCCGCGGCTGCCTCCCAAGCCCCAGGGGCAGCTGCCCGGCCTGCCCGGCGCCCACTGACCGCGCCAGCCGCGCCATCAGGGCCATCAGCAGGGCTTTCAGAAGTTCACAAGTTGACAGAAGTGTTCATTGTCGCCTGAATGTTGCTACTAATGGTTGGTTTATATTGTTACTTGTCAATTTTTCTTTCTATCTTTTAAACCTTTTTATTTTTTTGTTTGTTTTGGATTGTCAGCCTCGTCATTATGTGGTGCTGTTTTTAAGTGATTCATTGGGAATATTTACATGAAATGTCTATGAGATTTGTTGTAATTTTGCCACATTTTGCGGTTTGGAATATGCTACTGGGGAATAATTATCATTATTTTTATTGTTTTTCAATTTTTAAATGTCGACAACTTCTATTCCAATATTTCCAATATGTTGTGTCTGTGTGTAAAGTACAGCTGTGTATTTCTTTATTTTTATTGATTTGTTATTCTGCTTTAGTTTTGTGCTGAAAATGAATGCCTTATGAGCTAAGCAACTACACTAATATACAACATTGTGGTTTTGATGCCTCTGCATGGTAATTCAAAGTGTCCAGCAAACTCTAAATAAGGATTTTTTATCTTATCTATAGTTGAGGTAGACTTTAAAAACCATGAACTTTACAGAGACCCAGCTTGTAGATTGTCTCCTACTCTCCTATTCTGAACAAAAAGCTTCTTATATTGTTTTGTGTGCTTGCTTTTGTTTTAAATTACTTGAAAATTTTATTGTACAAGACAAACTTGAATGTAAGTTGTTTTGTGATAAATTTAATCCATTCACTGCTTGTTCTTTTCACAAACGCTGGGCTGCAACACTTTAGGTTTTTCTTAAAGTAAAAGCTTTGCTTCAATATTTTATCTATTAGCATCCGAACAAGCCCAACATGAATTTTGAAAAGCAGAACAGCCATTAAAATTATTGATTTGTAGAATGATAATTATTTAGACTGTGTATTAAGATAAAAAAATGTGCCTGAAAAGATTTTATATGTTGTAATATGTACGTAGGTAATTGTTGAATTGTCTTACATTTTCAGAAATTTTACATGGCTTGTTGCCAGTTGTCAAGTTGGATTTTGATTTTAGTGGGAATCTTTGCATTGAAGCTATACAATTTGGCCAAGTGGTCTGTTTTTAGTCAATATTCCAGCAACAGCTCATTCTCACTTTCTGTCACCATTACAAGCTAAAGATGGGATCATTGAAAGGGGTATTTGTTGATTTCCTACTATCTTGAGCTACTGGGTAACACTTTGCATTTTACCAATAATCAATCTTTCCAGCATATAGAGTTGCTAGGTACTAATTCAGTTTGTACCTCAGAGGGTGGCATTTTGTAAAAGTGCCTCATCTATGTTGTTGATTTGCCACTATTCCTGTGCCAAAACTTAACATTCCTGGTTTGATGTTTGTAATACAAACATTGTTGAAATTCTTTATTTGAAATCCTTAGTTTTCTTCTACAGACTGCAAAAGAATGTCAATGTTTATGAGTAAATTCAGAATGAAGGTGAAGAGTCAGGAATAACCACAAATGTTGTATGACAGATGAATGAACTGTGATATGTAGTGTTTTTAATTTTGTGATTGATTTTTTATGACTCTGTAGATTTGTAGTGTATATACGTGTGCCTTATATTTTATGGCAAGGTGCATAGATCCTATATATGCAGTATATAAAAGTTATATAAATGACCAAACAATGAATTACTATTCATTGCTTATGTATGTGATTGTATAGAGTAAATAAATTGTTGAGAAAGCAGACTTCTACTTGTTTCCTTATATGATGTATCATTGAGTTGTTCGCCTTGGTTCAGATTCTCATCGGTCTGGTCCAGTTCAGTTCTTTTCGTGCATTTTCGTGGGGAAAAGGGGGGGAGGAGCAAAAAGGAACTCGACTGGACTGCACCGATGAGAATTCAGAGAGAGAGAGAAAGAGAGAGAGCCTTCCAATTCTTATCGGAACACCACCGAACGACCTGCTGGAGCTGAAAAGCTGAAACCTGAGCAACCTGGAACAACCTGGACCGCCGCACGCTATGATTCTGCCGCCTGCCACCAGATGGCGCCTCTCGCACTTGTCGACGGCGTCTGCTTTTGTTTACCGATTTACTTTTGTCTGTTTTGAGTTCGTTTTGGGTTGGGGACATCTTCCTTATGTGTTTACGGAGTTTTGGTTAGTTTTCGAGATCGTGACGACGACATTTTAAAAGTTTGATCCGTTACCCATCAGTAATTATCTGTTGTTCTTACCGGTATGTGATGTAGTGCTCATCTGTGATGGTTTCTTTGGTGTGACAGTCTAACTAACTACAACCAAAAGTTTTGCCGCCGACTGACGGCTTTGGTTGTGTCGAAATCCTTGAGGAAGAGGAATCTGCTCGGATATGTCGCCGACAAATATCTTGTCCGAGACGGATAAACCCGAACATGAGCAGGTAAAGAGGGTCACTAGGGTTGCGTCAAAATAAGAGGCGGGTCACCCGACCGACCGACCGACCGACCGACCGACAACCCGCTGCGAATGCGCGAATGCGCGTAATCACTCTAAAGAGCAAAGAACTGCATATTTTCGGAAGCAGGAAGACACGAGGATGATTATTAATATGTAAAGTTAACATATTTTAATCTTTTCTGGAATTCGTTATTGGCTTTTATGTTTGGGTGTTTAGCGCAGCCATACCCCTAGAGCCTACCCCTCTCAAATAAACGCCGTTCTTCCCGCTCCGCTGCTACGTTGTCAACAAGTGACGATCTAACAGCAAATAAACAAATTTTTGCCGGTTAACAAATAAACAAATTTTTGCCGTTCATTCTTGAAACTGTTACGAAATTGACTATTGCTGTTTACCTGCTACGCTTATGCTCGCTAGGTGGTAAGTTTCCTGTTTGTGATTTAGAAGTGGTGGTTGTCATGAAGTTATTGTCTGATTTACATGTTATTATATGGTATAATCAGTCCTTTAACCTAGTTAACCTGACATTTCAGGTGAGAAGTTTGTTTCCTATAGTTGAAAATGGATTTCGATGATGATGATGATGCGGTAGCCGACGTTCTGCAGGTGCTGCACGTGCTTTTGACTCTTGACGAGGATAACGATGATGACAATAATTTAGTGCCTAGAGGAGAAGGTACTCAAAACAGTTCATTTATTGAGTTTACACAAGTGTGCACGAGTTACTAACATGATTATGGATTTGCAGGTCGATCATATCCAAATGTGGATATGGAATGGTGGAGCTCACTCCAAGATCCGTATTTCAAATCACATTTCAGGATGGATCGTACCTGCTATGAAGTAATTTATATCCTGGATGATAAGTCTGTGGGTGCGCTGTGAACTAAGTTGTACTAAGTTGAGCATTTATTCTCTGTTTCTTATAGGCTTTACTTGTTACTGTTGGACGACACATGTATGACACAGGCAGAATTCGCAGACAAGGGTTGCCAATTAGTTATGCCTTGATGTACACACTTTGGTCACTGGCAAACCCTGACACTTTCAGGAGCACCGGAGTGACCTTTGGAAAAGGAAGGGGATCCATACACAACCAGTACCGGACAATTATTGAAGTGCTTAGAGAGCTACGTGGTCGCTACATCAAATGGCCCTCAAATCGGGAAATGGCTAGAACTGCACGAATTTTTGAGGACCGCTATGGCTATCCTCAAGTTGTAGGTTGCATTGATGGGTGTCACATTCCAATAATGAAACCCTCGGAGCAGCCGCAACAATTCCTCAACAGACACCACCAGTACTCCTTACTTCTGCAGGGTGTATGTGACGATCGTCTCCTATTCCGAGATGTGTTTCTTGGACAGCCAGGGGCAGTTGGAGATGCAAGAACGTTTCGGAGGAGTCCATTGAGCCAATCGATGCTCAGGCACAGGGACTTCATGGATGGCTTTCACCTTTTGGGTGATGGTGCTTATCCTTTGACAGACAAGGTAATGAAAAACCATGTTTTCATGTGTGGAATAGTAATGGTTGTAGTTCTTTTTTTAAATACTGTTTTGCTCTCTTTTCATTAGTTACTTATACCTTACAAGGATTATGGCAACATGACAGTTCGACAAAGGGCTCATAACAGGACTTTGTCCCAATGTCGCTCTGCCATTGAGAGAGCCTTTGCTTTGCTGAAAGGCAAATGGAGAAGACTCAAGTACCTCCCATCATACTGTCTGGATTACCAACTCGACCACATTATGGCATGCCTTGTTCTGCACAACTTTGTCATTTTACATGGAGATGACTGTGACGTAAGCATGTCATTAACATTATTTTTAATTGTTAAGTTTAATGTTGTGTTGCCTCCTGTAATTAATATCTATTTCCAATGATTTCAAATCAGGGTGAAGAATATGAAGGTCTTGAAAGAGATGAGGGAGACTATGTTCAACTGATGGAGGCTGCCAAAATTAGAGGTGAAAACAAAAGGTGGTATATTTCAGCCATGATAATGTTGGATTTGTAAGAAAAAAAATTTGTACTCTAAATAATCAGTCTTTATAATCACATATTTTGATTCAAATTTGAAAATCTACAGTACAATTGTTGCCATGTTGATATGGTAACTTAACATATATATATATATGTATATATGTATGTCCAATTTGCAATGAAATTATATAAATATACAATAAAAAATAAAAATGCATGTAATGAAACATTACTAAGTAATTTAAAAAAACAAACAAACAATTATTGAATTATATTTCCTCAATTCTTCTCACCTTTGGCCAGACGAAAATTCCCTCTCTATTTCTGCTTTGAGCAGTCGAGCAGTCGAGCAGTCTGATTTTGAGGCATACTGATAACTTAACTTACATATATGAAAATATGTATGTCCAATTTGCAATAAAATTATATAAATATACAATAAAAAAATAAAAATGCATGTAATGAAACATTACTAAGTAATTTAAAAAACAAACAAACAAACAATTATTCAATTATGATTCCTCAATCCTTCTTGCCTTTGGCCAGATGAGAACTGAGTTGTTTCAAAATTTGCAACTTTTCCATCTCTATTTCTGTTTTGACCTGTTGGGCAGTTTGATTTCGAGGCATACTGGTTGGGCGAGTTCTGCCTGGAGCACTTTCTGGTGACTTCTAGAAAAATGGTTTCAATATGATAGTCACAGCTATTTCATCAAATAAATGAGATTAAAATTGTTTTGAAAATGATTTGTTGCTCACCTTTGACTTGTGATGTACAAGCTTTACGCCAGCACCCTGGACTTGCTCAGGATGAGAGCCCACCTCTTTCCTTTTCAATTCATGCATTAGCTCCATTAAGTTTCTGGTTGGTCTATCTTTAATCATTTCTAAGGGACCACAAGCTCCTGTGCGGTTTGCCTCATCACAATAGTCCCTATAGTCTCTCGAGAGCATCTCCATTTTCTGCTCACACTTTTGAGCTCCATGTATGTATTTGTTACGATACAATGCTTCACTTATTTTGCGCCAAAAGTGGATACTTCTCTTCGCTTTTGGTGCATTGTAATCCTCCTTGTTGTCCAGGCAAGCCTGGACAAGTGCCAACTCAGAATTGATATTCCATGATGCAGCTAGTAAACAAAATACAATTTATATTTAGCATTTCAGATCATGAAATTAATTTTTAGGACAAAGGATGTTGATGAGTACAACAGTCATGAATACCTTCGGAAAACTTAATGAGGTCATCCATATATCTATCGTCGGTCTCGGGCTGCTGCAGTAGAGCTTCATCAGCATCTGTCCATTCGAATTTAGATCCTTTGAGAATTGATATGCTGGTATTATTGTCAAATATAACTGAATGAATCTTAAATAGAGGGTGCAATAGATGGTTCTTTTGCTTCCATCTCCTAAAATTCTCCCTCATTGTTTCCTTCTTGCTGCGCATTTTATGTATGTCTGTGTTTACTCCTTTCTTTTCCAAATAGCCTGTTAGTGATTCTAGGAAGTTATCATGACTGCCCGATTTGGGTACATCACCTCTCTTCCTTGCAAGTACTTTAAGAAAGAAGTTTGACCCCTCCTCATCATTTAGAGTTATTTTTTCCTCAACTTCTTCTGGAAACAGATCTGTATATGAAACAATTAATAACTTTAAGCACAGCTAAAACAATAAATATCAAGGTATAACGTAAAAATCACATACCACGATTGGAGTTGTCATTGAGAATTACTTTAGTCACTGTCATATTCTCTAGGTGTGTGGCTAATGTAGCCTCCTCAGCAGTACTGAACTGAAAGTAAAATTTGTTTCCAGAAAAATGTACATCATGCAGATGAAAACACAGATGGACATGAATTTCAATCACTACAGGGGTACCTGAACAACTGCAGATTTCTTGCTAGAGTTCATTTCACACTTCACAATAGCATCAGAATTTTCTTGGGTCAAAAATTTGGCTTTAACCATTTCCTGAAGGAGGAATCGCTTGAATTCAGTCTGGAATATTGAGAAAGAAATGTCATTGTCACATAGCTAAGAAATTATTGCTTTGAATCAGGACAATCATTATCTTCATACCGCAGTGAATGAAGCAGTCAGCCCACAGATCTCAACAGTGTCACTGCTCTTATGTTTTGATAACTCTAAGATATCATTATCATTCCAATCATAATTCATGCTATGTTGGCTCTGATTGATTGATTGATTTAGTGAACTTAACTGCTCCAAAACCAAGGACCGACCCTCATAATCCACCTTCAGCAAAACAATTAAGCTGGCAGCTTCAACAGAGGAAAACTGGGGGAACAAAGGTTTAAAACCAAATAATGCCAAACTTTACTCTAAAATAATAAACAATAGACGATTGGTCTTAGGATACCTCAACAGTAGCTGTTGTTTCATCAGATAACCTGCAGGCCTCTGCTGGTTTCTCAGGTGGACGGCAAAATTTTTCTTCATACAATGCATTATTTAGAATGTACAGTACATTGACCTGTGCAGACAAAAGTTATTTGAGAAATGTAATGCTTACGCACCTATGATACCAGATTTTATACTGTAACAAAGCCACACGAAAAATGCTGGCGCCAAAATCCTTCGATACAAACCACTTCAAAATTGGTAGGTAGTCCATAAACCTTAACTTTTGAAGTTAGCTGGGGCAGGGGATCAGCTGGTTTGGTCTCTATAACATGCTCAACTTGTCTTGTTACAACAGTTTTCCCATCATAATCGATGGGCAAGGAGCATATTTTAGTAGCAGCAGCTACTGAAGTGAACTGAAATGACCAAAAAGTTACAGGACTTGCTATCAACGCTTTGCAATAATTTAGGAACCTAACATACTTCAACAATTGCTGTGGTTGCACCAGTTTTAGTGCACTCCTTGGCAGGCTTCTCAGACCTTTCACAAAATTTTGCTTTTACTAAAGCATCGTTTATGACATAGCAAACTGTGACCTGTAATTGTT